TATATCAAGTAAAAATTATTAATTACTTTTGGTGATCAATCAAATAATTTATTCCATCAAGGTATTCAAAGAAAACAAATATATATAATTTCACCATATTAATAAGAATAATGACATATACCTTCTCATTGGTCTACCAGAGTATTAAGAATCAATTATTAATAATTGTACTCCTTCAGATAATATAATATATGCTCTTTGCGAGCAGTAAATCAAGTTCATGGTGACTAAATCTAGTACTGACACTTGTGTTGGTCATATTTAAGGTCATTGGTTTGTAACCATAATCTTTTCCATATCTAAAATTATATTCCAAAATATTCACTTATGGGAATATAGTTAAACCCATTGGTTCATAATTAGAATATGTTCGTTTAGAATATTCACTTCTGGGAATAGAGTTTAATCATTGGGCAGCCTTATGGTATAATTTTTCATTAATAATTTGTTCTATTGAATCATAAAAATTCATAAACTTGATGCAAAATATTTCTTGAACCATTTCCTCAATGTTGCTACTGCTAGAGTATATTCAATAGGCAAAAAAATATTGAGAGTGTTTTCTCTCTCTTTTTTTCTTTCGGGTTATTCTAAAGATCAACGGGGTCTCTTTAATCATGATCTAGCTCTAGTTCTTCAGAAACTATAATACAATTATGAAAAATAACCAATAATATCCATTGATTTGAGCAATCCTCAGGGATGCTTTAAAATGTAATTTTTTTTTCAAGAATTTATCAAGAAAGAAAAACAAAAGAAAAAAATTCATATTATATATAACATGAAAGAAGCAAAAAGGAAAGAAATTAAGCCTTGAAATATATTAATTGAAGAAGAAAGGATAAGAATGAGTTACTCCCTTTTATGTTTATCAAACTCATCACTTGGTTAACGGAGACTTGTGAACGTCGGGAATTTGGGTATACTAGAGACTTTATCTTGATCTACACCATTAGAGACTTGATCATGATTGTGTTGTTATACCACTAGAGACTAGATCGTGCTAATAACGTGTTATGAAACTAAGAAATAACATAAATACATATTATGAAACAAGAGAGAAAAAAGAGACAGTATGAAATAAAGAGAGAAAGTAGAATAATATCATCAATCCTTATTGTATTCTTTTTCATAGAGTACATGCCTTTATATAGGACTTCAAGGATGAATAACAGGACTAATTACACATTAATCCACCATTATGTAATATGGTTACAATTCATACCAAAAGTCATAGGCAAGCAAAAGGTCACGTTCTAAAATCTCAATGGTCATCCACATGCAAAATTCGTGTTTTACAACAGGAAAGGCTATTCCATGTCGTAGGGAAAAAAACCTATTGGGTCATTTTGAGTCGTGATCATTGTTGTCAAAAACTAATGTAAAAATGTAGAAACATAGAAACTGTATAAAGTAAAAACGCAATGTAAAACATGTTAAAAGTGTAAGTAAAACATTTTTTTAGTAAAAACCCCACGTAGAAACATAAAAGCGGCAAAAATGCAAGTTTTTAAAATTTTACTTAAGACTCAAAAAATTTAGTATTTAAAAAAAAATCATTTTTTTTCCAATTTTTTAAACTCAATTTTCTTTTTTTGTATTTTTAAACTTATGTCTTATATAGTTATGTGACTTATATTTTTTAAATATGAAGTTATTCGTTGAATTTTGAGTAGTGGCTTATAAGATTTTTTTTATGCATATATATATAATTTTGTATCTTAACCTTAAATAGTAGAAACTTTATGTTTCGTATCATTTATATGATTTACGTTTCCACCATTCCCTTAAGTTTCTACATAGAAACTTGATTTTCACAACATTAGCCTAATCACTTATCTACAAGAGTAGTTTGATTTTCTAAGCGTACATTACATTCTATAAAAATACATTTTCAGGACTTAAATTCATACAAGTTATTTACATTATGTGGCTTTTGATTATTATCTAACTAATAATTAAGATATCGATGGTATTGTAGTAAACTGTAAACTCAATGGTTCACTTGAAGCGTTTAAAAGTAGGGTCTCTTTTTTCTTATGTTGTTGTAAAAATTTTTTTTGCAACAACTGTTATAACTATGTATTTTGTGGAATACATAGTTATAATCTTAAAGAAATTTTTTTCTCTCTTCAGAAGTTGTCTGCTGACGTGAAGAGAGAAAAAAATAGCTTTATGATTATAATTATGTATCCCCTGAAATACATAATTATAATCGGTTGCTGCAAAAGAATTTTTTGCAGCAACATAAGAAGTACATTTCCCTTAAAAGTAAGGCAAATCGATCATAATTTTGTTCTAATCCAAATGGGCATGTTTTGGTGGATAAACATAAAATAGAATGTGTAAATTAGCTTAGTGGATAAAGTTTACTATTGTGTGTTGATGAATGCATTGATCTCAAATCAAATTTCTCCTTTCTCGCTTAAAGTCGTGGCTTTTTCTTCTTCTATAGATATAATGTGCATTGGTGTGTGTAAAATCTTGGGTGACTGCGCTACATTGTTGTATGTTGAAATATATAGGAATTCCTGGAGAAATTCTGAAATTCATGATGTCGATTTCTCTAGGCCTGCGAATCCGAAAATCTGCATTTCTTCTTGCTAAACCATATCACTTTGAGCAAAACCCCTAGAGTCTGCACCCCTTTCAATGTTTTAGATGTGACTGTAGTTTCCTTTTGGATCTGATCGGAATCTGGTACTGTAAAACTCAACGTTGATGGAGTTGTTCTTAACGAAAAGGCTGCTTGTAGTGGCCTTCTTAGAGACTTCAATGGGTCCTGGCTTGGTGGCTTCAACTTTTTTTTGGGATCATGTTCTCCTCTGCAATCTGAATTCTGGGTTGTTTTTCATGGTTTACATTTTGCTTGGAACAAAGGTTGGAGGAAGCTTGTAGTAAAAAATGACTTTCTTCTTGTGGTGAACTCACTTACGTATACTAGTAATGACACTCGAAAGTTTTCCCTAGTAACTAAGATTCGAGTTTTACTTGATAGAGATTGTAGTGTTTCTGTATCTCATAATTTTTCCCTGGTAACTAAGATTCGAGTTTTACTTGATAGAGATTGGAGTGTTTCTGTATCTCATTTGCCTAGAGCTTGTAATAGTTGTGCGGATTGGCTAGCCAAAGAAGCCATCAACAAAAGCTATGGCCTATCTTCTTTTTCGTCTCCTCAGCAAGATCTGAAGGTCTTTCTCTCAGCTGACTATCTTGATCCTTGAGATCCATCTCCTATTCTGTCTCCTTAATCTTGTTTTGTGTTTTCCTCTTTTGTTGTTTTGTTGCTTGTTTTTTCCTTGTTGTTGGGGCCTTGTCCCTCTATTGTACCAATATATATATATGTGTGTGTGTGTGTGTGTGTGTGTGTATATATATAGGGCTTATTGTTTCTCAAGCTGCTTAAGATAATTTTATTTCCGGCTACTAAATCATAACTGTACAAAGATGGATCAATGGTGATAAAGGAATAGAGAGAAAAAAGGAATCATAATCATTCAAAGGTGAATCAATTAATATAAGGAAATAAATAAACAAACCGACATAGTTTTGGATTGGCCGGAGATAAACTTATCTCAAGTTGTCGGAGAAATATTTTCTCCATATATATATATATGATTTCTGATTTCTTACTTTTTGAGATCCAATATCTTTGGAAAAATAAATAAATATGATATATTCATTAAGTTATCAACTAAACATAGAGGTCTCTGAATTATTAAGCCTAAACCATATAGGTAGACTAAACTAAAGCTTTAAAGCCATTTGGGCTTTCAATGGAGAAGTTTGGGCATTGGATGAAGAAGCAAATTTTCTAAGGGGGTGTTTGGTTGAGGAGAAATTTTTTAAATACTAGAAAAATGTAATTGATAGGGAAATGGTTGGAAAGTGAGTTTGGTAAGAAAATGTAAAAAAAGTTGTTTAGTTGGAAAAAAATTTACCGGACAAATTAGATAAGATAAAGGTATTACGATCAGCTTTTTGGTTGTCTTTTACTCATTTAGCCATCTAAGTCACAATACCACGTTCAAAGTGGAGAAATTGAACAGTAACTTTCTTTCCATTTTACACACAAATATTAAAGTCTAGGGAAATGTGTTTCCTATCAAAATTTTGTAATATTGTGAACCAAACATGGAAAACAAAGAAATTCTATCTATGATGCCTAAGTATCTCCTAAAAATACCTCAACCAAACACCACCTAAAAGCCAATGTGCATCTTGCAAGGTGTGAACTTTTTGTGTCATTATCCAATTTAATAGTTATTCTCTCTCGCCATCTATTAATTAAAAATCCAAGAGAATATAAGATGCGCTGTTAATTGCTTTCAATGTACCCAAAAATAGGACTTTTTGACCATGTAAAGCAAAATTTAAAACATTTTATCGATTTAATTTATTTTTTTTGCAAATGATTTACTAATATAATGCAAAAAGATGTATATGCACATTCAAATCACGCACTCTTCTATGTGCGGCCAGGATATTGATGATGCGAGACTTGAACCATATTACCGTACGCGCATCTTTTAGCAAATTATATATTCTAAGGATTTCTATTTGTGATTTAACATGACATAACAAATTTTTCTACACACACAACATTTTGTGGGGTTCATATTTTTTGAAGAAAAAAAATAAAAAAATTACGGCACGCAAAACGAATTTCTATAACATTACACAATCATTCTTCCTACAACATAACTTTTAAAATCCATATTTTAATGTGTTTGTTTTTGCTTCCGTTATTACAAATAAGTTATCTGCACTAAACTCAATACGACGTTTGAAACAAAAATCATGGTATTTTTATAATTTTAATTTATTTCGAAGTTATTATAGTATTTGTAATTATAATTTTTCAATATTTTAATCTTAAAACAATGTTATTTGAAGTAAATGCAGATAACTTATTTGCAAAATAACTCAAAGAAATATTTTAAAAAGCCCAAAAATAATAACCAATAGAAAAGCAATCGAATTAACAAATCTCATCACCATAAACAGAATGAAGAATGCAAATATCCAAAACACAAGAAGAAAGAAAGAAAGGATTCTTACAAATCTCAATCTCTCTACCAAAACTTAACAAAGCATTCCTAAGATGGTTCAGAAAACAACATTTCCCTTTCCAACAGCGTAGCTTTTACTTCTTGGGTAGGAGCCTGGCACAAAAGCAACACCCCCTTCCGACAAATCAGAAGGCATATCCTCCTCGTCAATCCGAGCCATTCCAACACTGGTGGACTTAGGCAACCTTTTTGAATCGAAATTAGACAGCACGTGTTGTTGTTCTTTTAGAACCAAATCCATGTCAATTCTATTTACCAAAGTCCTAGCAGATGCTGCTCTCACGAGCTCTGCGAAATCCTCGTTAACCTCAGACCTCCTTGATGTGGCTGCGCTGTGGCTTCTCGACAAAGTAGAGAATCTTCCAGCATCGTCCATTGGGTTGCCATAGCTCATGTTTTGACCGCAGTTTGTTATGCTTTTGACGTACATGTCCCTTGCTTTGCTCAGAAATCTAATTGGTGAAGCCACGATCCTCAAAAACATGCTCTGGCTATGTCCCTTGCTCCTCATCTTCAATTACAATGAATAATTCTCAATATGGCTTTAGGCTTATCGTGATTAGAACAAATAGGGTTGATCAGAGAAGTTGATAACTAAATTATCCGAAGAAGTTTGTTACGGGAGATAGTTGGGTTTGGGAGAGAAAGTGGATTTTGTAGTTGCAAGCAACAAGCTATGTGTGAAACCGTGAGCTGTGCCTGAAATTGGACTTTTTCATAGCACACCGGATTTTGACAACTGAACTATTCAAGATAAGAACGAAACCGCGGAACGTGTTGGCCAACATTAATATTATTATTATTATACGTATATAATATTGGGTTTATCATCTATCATTTAACATGACCACAAAAATTTTCCTACACACACAACATTTTGTGGGGCCCACCAAAAAAAAAAAAAAAAAACTTCGGCACGCAAAACGAATCTTTATAACATAACACAATCATTTTTCCTACAACATAACTCTTATAAAACCCTATAATATTAGTTTAATAAGTCTAAGTTGTTGAAAATAGAAAAAAAAAGTAAAACTATGTGACTAGGAGATAAGTCAGATTACAAGGGCTTATCCTGTTCTAATTTTGAGACATGGACACATGTTAATCATATTGAGGAAGCTTGCGTGTATAACTGAATTTATGTCACGCTGTAATTGTGAAACACTCGAGCATAACTCTGGTCGTGTTTTTGGTTAGGAGTGACATTACAAATCCAACAGAGTTTAAATTCATTAATTATCTTATATTTTTCTTGAGATATGTTATATTTATAAAAAAAATTATTTATAAATTATATTATTTTTTTTCGAAAGAATATTAGATTTCACTATGTTCTCCCTGAAAAAGATAATATAATTTATAAAAATTTATCAAAAAAATTTATCAACGAATCTTTCCTTATTCTTCTTAGCAAAACTGTACTAATCGAGAATTTTCAGGGCAAAAAGACATCTCTTTTGAAAGTTTAAGAAGATTTTCCATGAATTAACAACAATTGATGTTAGGCCCATTTGCCAACCACTTTTGTATATTTATTTTCTATCAAATATTTATTTAAGACTTTAATATTTTTACAGTAAAGGTAGATAAATTATTTATATTTACTCTCAAAATGATATTGTTTTGAATTGAAAAATTAAAAAATTATAATGAGAAAGACTTTTATAACCCTAAAATAGATTATAATTATAAAAATATCCTAATTTTCATTCCAAAATGACTTCATTTTGAACTCAATGTAGATAATTTATATACATTGACAGCAAAAAAAGTAAACACTTTATTTAAAATCTAAATAGTTTTGTAAAACAAAATTAAACTCAAGATATTTATAACCACAACGATAGCAAGAATCTTAAACAATCATATTAGATAAAAATGTCTAATTAAGTTGTATTTAGCCTATATCCTAGGAATATTAGCCTATATTTAGCTATATTTATAATCTTGGTTTCTAAGACTAATGTCAATTTTTTTACCAGTTTTTCATTTTATTACATACAAAATTTAGGAAGCTATGAGTTTAATTGTAACCAAAATGCCTACTTATCGTTGCAAAGTAATTTTCAGAGTTATTATGCTGTCGTAATCCATATGTATTAAGCTGGAGGCGCCCCTTGTATTATTAAGGTTGGAATAGGTTGAAATTACACATGTACTCTTGTAGAGTTTGTAGTAGCATACAGCAGAGAAGATACAGCACGCCTCTGGAAAAAGTTAAACGAAGACAATGGAAATAATTAGACTGGAGTCTGGACTCTCTGGAGGCTTAAAGCTTCGAGAACAAATGAAGGCTTTCCCATGTTGGCAACTCATAAAGTTTGTTGAATTGTGATTGACGTATTTGTCATCACATTCCTACAACTAACAACTAAAAGTCCTCAATCTAGAAGAACTCAAAATGAATTTATATTGTACTTTTTGCAAAATTTGATTGTTATATTGTTCTAATTCTATTAAAGATATTATTCGAGACCCCCCACACAGCATAATTTATTGGGCTGGTCTCTCCCCATCCTGAAACAAGTACATCCTTATTATACCCAATATCACTGTTCATGCACACAGATTTCAAGCATCAGGCGATCGAAGATATTTGCCTCACACTAACGGCAGTGTGGAGCTAGAGAGTGGATAGGAGAGATGAATTATTTTAACCCAAAAATTTAAGTTGATAAAGTGATGGGTCTTCAATGATTTTGATATAATATCTCTCTAATACGCCGTCTGTTACAATAATCATTTGAGTTTGAAACATAGATATTGTATTGATCTTTTTTTTTTCTTATCTTCTATTGACTTAATTTCATTAAAAAATAAGGGCGGTAAAGCTCTGATGATCCCTTAATCACGTACTATTTTAACTCACAACTTTAATCTAGGAAGTGATAAACCTTAAATTATTTCATATTATATCTCTGATCTAATAACATGTGATGAGCTTTGAATGGTTTGGTATTATATTTCTTTAACGACGCGAGATCGTTATTGAATTGTATTTCTCACCGAGGGATCCGGAGATGACTTGTCCCCCATGTTTTGGCTCGTTAGATATTGATTTACTTAAAAAAGAAAATTATTGAATATTGAATAGAAACACAGCGCATGACTTCAACTAATGTCCTTTGTCTTTTACTCATTTTGCCTCCATAGAATTATATAAAACTTTGCTTCATGTTGTTGGTTCTGGTCTTCTGGATGAACTTAAAAGGGGATGAATTGATTTTATTAAAAAAAATCAATTAAAAAAACATAATTGTAATAAAATAAAGAGTAAAGGAAAGAAGTGACATATTTATCTAACGTGAAAACAAACTCCAACTGAAGAGAAAAAAACTCACGACCCCAATTTGGATATATTTATTTAATTAAAAGGTAAATTCACTATCGATCAATTCAAAATACAGAAATAGACCCTATTCTACCTTTATACAAGAATTAACGTGAAACCTTACCCGAGATTTTCGGAATCCTACCCTAGGATTCTAATAGAGTCTAATTAAAGACTCTCCAATAGCAAACGGCTCCCGTCTTTATTCATAATGAACAAAGACCGCCTCATTCCTAAGCCATGATATTTTTCAAAGTCAAGAAAAAAATTCAATTAAAATTGGTTACCTTACCGCTTCTAAATAATAAGCAAATAGGTATAAATAAAACATAAGTGATGAACTCAATAAATCGGCTCATGCATTGATTCCAAAATTAATTTAAATGTGCTTTAAGAAGAAATACTCATAATATGTGTTATCGATCTATGTAAGGCTCATATATATGAAAGCCCATATATCTGAAAGCCCAATAAAGGGCAATCACATGACAATAATATAATGGCACATCGAGCCCATAGATCAGAAGAGGCCTAAAACTCTCATACTCTCAGGTAGATTCTATATATAGGGAATAAAGCTTACATGTATGACCTAATCTCTTTCTGATTATTATGTTGTCAATGTGCACACACCACTCCATTGGCTAATGCCGTTATCGATTGTATACAATGATTTGCTATCTAATTCATTGATACCTTAGAGAGAGTACCTAATTCAATATTGATCTACTAGTCCTTGACTAGACACTTCTGTCACCTAGACACGACAATATGTTCAATGCGCTCTTTCTTTTGAATGGTCAAAAATCTTTTTCCCTTTAATGCTCAAAAACATTTTTCTCTTGAAAGTTCACTAAAATGTTTTTCTCTTGAAAGCTCACTACCACTTTGGAGAAAAGCTCCAAGTGTGGTATTTATGGACTTTTTCTCAAAATCAAATCCTAAGGAAAAATGTAAAGACTATCCAAAAATCTTTTTAAAAATAAAATCAAAATCTTCAAATTAACTTTAAAAAATAGAAAAAGTAATCAAATCTTTAAAAAAAAAAATTAATCTCAAATTAACTTTTTCTTTTTAAAATCAAAAATCAAATCTTAAAAATCTATTTGGATTAAAAATAAAACTTTTAAGTCTTCTTTCCTTAATTTCCAAAACATTAAAGATTTTAACCCAAGACATGATCAAGATTCACCTCATCCAACCATTACATGAAATCTAAGATTTTATCTTGTATCTTCGATCTTCACGATTTCATGACAATTGTGTTGCATTCTTTTCATCATAATTCATCACAAATCAAGTCCTGTAAAAACTTTTCAAAAACTAAACAAACCGTTAGATAATTTGGCTTCACTTGTTTATTATCATCAAAACTAGATAAGGTGTGGGACCCAACACACGTGTCTTTTGTCTCATAGGGCCCAAAAATGAATGAGTAGTAGGAGAGCATATCGTGGTTTACTCGAAGCTAACAAAAAGAGTATAATATATCCATGAGTTTAGCTTAGTTTAATTTAAGGAAATCATACTCTTATATTGTTGGAAAAATAGTTATCTTATGTCACCCATTATAATTATGTACTCCAAGGAGTATATAGTTATAATATTAAAAAAAAAAATTCTCTCTTCAGAAGTTATCGGCTGACGTGGAGAGGGAAAAAAATAATTTTAACATTATAGCAATGTACTTCCCAGAGCACATAGTTATAACGAGTGGCATAAGATAAAAAAATTTACAGCAACATAAGAAAAAAGACCCTTAGTTTAATACGGTGAGTTGGACAAAAAGTATTCGTATTGTTAATGTCTTTGGTGAGATTTTGTTTAGTCTTACATATAAATAGTTTAACGTATTTTACTAATAACTTTTTCACCAAATTAAAAAGCATTTGACAAAAAACTCACACTGGGAAAAATTTGTCATAATAAACTAAGTTCAATAATATTTAAATAATACCTCAAAAAATCATGTAAAAAATATGAACGTTTATAACTTTGATAATAAATTAAGATTAATATATTTAAAAAAACACATGCCATTAGTTAAATTATTTTTTTAGTACAGTAACAAGCTTATTTCAAATTATTTCGAATTTTTAGTTTATAAAAATAATCACCATGGATTCTAGAAATGATATTAATATAAACAATAATAAAATACGTATTGGTAGTTGATCCGGATAAATATAATATAAATACAAAGCCTATATCAATATGAGGCCCATATTCAAAAGTCTTCACCATTGATCAAAGCTTTGTTCAACAAAGGCTGCTACCTCTTCTCCAAGGCAAAAGTTTATCTCAGGCAAGCTCCTCAATATTCAAGGCTACATGACAACAAGCTACCTCTTCTCCAAGGAAAAAGTTTATCTCATCAAGCTCCTCAATG